GGTGTTGGGGAGGGTGAAGGTAACGGCGATGGCCCTATGGTCGGAGCCGGTGGCCTCGGGAAGGGGTTGCCATTTGTTGAAGAGGGAGAGGGCTCTTGCATTTGCGAAGGCGAGGTCAATTACTCCGTGCCTTTTCCGGGGGTCTGGGGAATAACGGGTGTAGGTGCCTGGGTAGTTCAGGAGCGAGAAGTTGTTGGTTGTGGCGGAGTGGGTGTATGGCCCTGAGAGGCGAAGTTCCCCGTCGGAGAAGTTCCTCATGGGGTCTGCTGCAGGGGAGTGGATGTTGAAATCTCCTACTACGATGAGGGGGTTGGGGGTGTGGGTGAAGATTTTGGATGGGTTAATCGATCTCGAGGAGTTGGACAACTGTCTGTTATAGATGTTGGTTATCGTGAGGGCGGAGTGGGAGTTTTGGGAGGTTGGGAGAAACAGGTTGATTGAGATGAGGTCTCCTCTGTGAGAGGGAGATGCTGTTGCTGAGTTGCGCTCGAGGAGGTGGTTGGCGACGTAGATGCAGGTGGATATCTTATCCTCGGCGCTGGTAGGGGAGGGGGGAGTATAGTGTGAATGTGGGGGCGTTGAGGGGTTTTCCTTTGAGTAGGGGGGTTCTTGGATCGCGATGACGTGGGCCTTCGAGACTGTGAGGGAGGAGAAGAGGGAAATGAAGACATTATTGCTCCCAGCGCAATTATGTTGTATGATGCGTAGAAATGGTGTCGGGGGACTGCTAAGGTCTCCTAACATTTAGGCGTTGTTGAGGTCCATCTCCGTCACCGAGGTCTGGGGAATCTCAGTGACTTCTTCGTCGGGGTGAGTGGATGGGGAGCCGATTGGGGCGAAGATATGGCCTCCGTCTCTCATACCGTTATTGGCCGAGTCTTGTCTCTGGAGGGCGAGTTTGTGCGGGCAGGAGGATACGAAGGCTGGATGAGGGCCTCCGCAGTTAGAGCATTTGGACTGTGAGACATCGCAGCAATCCATTGTTGATAGATTAAATCCTTGGCAGCTGGGGACGGGACAGCGGTGTTCTGCTTTGATGTGGAAGAGAGTGCAGTAGGGGCAGGTCGGGAGCTCCTGTTTGCACCCTTTAATGACATGGCCGAACTTGTAGCAGTGGGAGCATTGGGTTCCTGCTGAGGCTGACCACATGATGGCGCATCGGCGGGGGCGGGAGAAGAGGCGTATGGTTGTACCGATGACGCCGGCCTCAGAGCGGGAGACACTGATAACGATGGTGGAGGAGGTTTTGGCGTTGCGGGTTGTATCATCAGCGACGAGGAATCTGCACGATGAGGGAGTGATGCCTGTGGCTAGGCAGACGGCTTCGGGGAAGGTGGCTTGTAGCGTGGGTTTGTCGCGGATGCTGTATAGGGGGACCCTGTGTACGGCGACATCAATAGTGTCAGGCGCGGGGCGGAAGGAGGTGTAGGGGTTGTCGGGGGTGGGGATTTTCTGGTTGAGTATAGCGGTGAGGCTGTCATAGAAGGGGGCGAAGGTGGTGTTCGGGACTGCCGGGGCCGCGAGAATGGTTACTGTGCCTTTAGCGTTGATGGTGACTGAAAGGGCGGTGGCAGGGGCAACGATGCCTTGTCTTGCTAGGAACTGCCCAAAGAGGACGGGAAGTTCAGCTGTTAGGCGGTCGGAGTCGGGGATGAGGGTGGGTGTGGTCTTTGTGGCGAAAAACCGGCGTTTATGGGTCGGAAGGGGTGTGTCCTTGGAGGGAGAACCTGCAGCCTTTTCGTTCCTTTTTCCGCGTCGTTTTTCTGGCCTGGTTGGTTGTGCGGGAGGGGTTGCCGCTGATCTGACGGCGTTGGCGTAAGAGGAGGGTCTGGGGTTGGGAGGGCAGGGTGGGTGGTGGTTGCTCTTGGGGCTGGGGGGGGGCAGGGGGAGCGGTGGGGGCCTGGGTGTTGTGGAGTTGGGAGTTGATGTTGTCGAGGCGGTTGAGGATGCGGGGGTCGGTGTTACGAACCACTACCGCAACACGGAGGAAGCCTGAGTCATCGGAAAGTGCCGGAAGTTTCTGCGAAGGATTAGTAATCGGGTTGTTTCTCTTTCTTATATATAGGGGTGCTTGCCCCCTCACTGTCTACTTCTTTCCTTACGCAACATCTTGTATTTTACTTTGAGTTATTACTTTGGGGGATTTACTTCGCTTCAATACACTTCTTTACTCTCAGTCCCCGTTACGTCTGCTGCCCATCATGCTCTTCGCATCCGCCGTTATGTTCCTCGTCGTCGCCCTCGTGGCCCTCTGCTCGCCTACCCCGCTGTTCCCTCTGCCCCCTCGCCGACCGCTGTCTCCTCCGTCCTAGTACGGACCATTGTCCCTGCCCTCGGGCACACCGCTGACTCCACCCTCGTCATCGTGCGAGCCTACTTTCTCCTTCCCAGGAGCCCCCTAGTGTCCTTCGACCCCATTGCCAAGCCTTCGCACACGGTCCCTTACAGTCGGGGGAGCGCTGGTGGCGGCGGACCTCCTCTTGGAGGTCTTCGTGGTCCTGTTGGAGGGAGGCGATGTCGCCTGCCATGGTTGCGTTTTGTTTGGCGATGCCGCACAGGAGGGTGATGACGAGTCTGGTTTCGTCCGAGGTGTTGGGGTTGGCCAGGATGGCAATGGTAAGGGCGGAGAGGGCGGTATTGTTGGCTACGCCTACAAGTTCTTGGTCGATGTTGCCAATTCCAAGGGCGTCCAGGGCCTTCGTCATGTCAGGGGTGGGGCTTGGCATTTTGAAGCCTGGGTTTTACAGAGTTTTGGTGGGGAATGTTGGTTGCCACGCAAGGTTTTGGTGGTTATTTTCAAAAAATAAATAGATAGCGGAAGAGAAGGATGAAAACTGGGAGTACATACCTACCGATCTTTACACACTCTAGATTCCAACTATCGCAACCTAGTGCACCCTCGTTTAAAACCCCTCCATTCGTACGACGCCTCACATTGCAGGTATTTTGGAGACGGGCACGACCGTTGGGTCACCGCCAGTGCACTGCGGGCCAAGGTTTGGGGGGCATGAGGCTACGTGGGTTAGGGTTGTTTGGTATTCTAGAACTCTGTACCGTGCCTGATGTTCTCTGCACTTGCTATTTATTACCTCTTGCACTTTCGGTAGAGTAGGTCTACCGTATACCTACTCTACTATGCCTCTAGTATGGTTGCCAATTGCCGAACACAGACGAAAAATTCAGGTATGCACGCACCTGTTGGTCGATACGCAATTAATGAATTAAACAAAAAAAAAACCTGTTGGTCGATGTCTAAAACATCTTTATCTCAACCTCGATTAAACGGTTCTTCACCATATTAAATATACTCAGAGCCTATGCAGAGTACGTTTGTAGGTACTCTACTCGTATTTTTCTGATGTTCGTGGACGCGACTGATATTAAATGCCATACAAAAATACGCCAAGCTCATGATTTGCGCGTATGCAATAATGGCTGAGTTAAAAAAAAAAAGTTAGGAAGATACGTAGAGTAGGCAGAGTACTAACTGCGGTACGTTCAGAGTACATAATCTCAACAACTATTAAAGTCAGAAATCATGGTATAGGGGCGTCTTGGGTGACGTATCGTAAATCACACGACCGTACTTCTTTCTTCAGCTCTCTCATTGGAACTAAAAAATCAAATTTGGTAACCCAAGACAAATCCCCTCAAAGTCAATCGCAACGGTCCAGTGGGGAGGGATTTACGCTAATAGTACTGCTCTACCCAGACGGGCCCTGAGGCTCGTAGACTAAGTACTCTACATACATACATAGAGTCCAAGTAGGTAGGTTAAAACGGCACATCAATTCGGCCTTACAAGGCTGAACATACCCCAGATATGGCTGTAGAAGCCAATAACGTTAAAACTATGACATAAGATGACATGAATCGGTCGGTACTATCCAATGGCCTACCGCGGTGTAACGCACGAACCTTTCCTGCGTGTGCTTGATCAGGTAATATAGGAAACCCCTTTGCAGCATACATGCCCACATAACGTTACACTGTGATCGTAGAACTTTGTACGACGTGACAACAGTAAATTATCATTTACAATTAGAAATAGAGCGAGGTTTAGCTCGTAATAATTTGGCACAATGCCGAGAGAGTTTTAGCTACAGAAAATCGAAAGTCGGTCACTTGGACAGAAAGTCCTGCACCTCTTATTAGCTTAATCCTTGCAGGTCTTTGCCGAAAACAGCTAGAATTTCTGTCCAACCTGTCCGAATATCTGTTCAACCGGCGCCATAGCTACCTAATCTCTATAATCCTAGTTTCGTTCTTTCACACTTGTGCTGGGTCTTCACTCTGGTTCTTGTTCACCACCGTGGATGTTTCTCATGCAGATAACTTCTCTGCAGCTGGTACGTCCACAATGATGTTATAACTAATGAACACATTTGCGGGGCATTAGAGTACCATATTAAGGTGTGCCATTAAGAAAATGCTGTGGTTGCCAGCTTGCGCATCAGCTATTTTAGATCAATGACCAACATTGCGACCCGTGTTGGTGCTTTTCACAATCTTTCCAGATAGGAACCTATCTATCCCACGGATATAAGGAGTATTATAAGCGGTGGGTGGGTCCCTCTTGGTTCCCTCTAATTATTGATGCTTTTTTTTTAATTTATCTGGCACCGAGCTTGGATTAGCCTTAAATTCGAGTAGAGTACTCTAGAGTATGTACGGTCTACGGAAATGGATGTCTAAGGAGCCGTCATGCAGCGCAAGATCTATATAAATACACTCTGCCCCACCCCGAATTGCAGTTTTCTACTCACCCCCCCCGCCCGCCACTCTCGTCACCCCACCCATCTTTGAAAGAAAGTTGAACAACAGCCGTGTCACTCACGATGGGTTTCTCTAAGAGGAACTTCTTCCTTAGCTTGGCGTTCCTTGTGACGCCTATCGCGGCTATCGCCATGGCCATGCCACAGCCGCAGCGCGGCCTCTCGAGGAGCTGTGAGCAGTGTCTGTCCCTGTTGAACACTGCAGGATGATGTGGATACGACATGATGTCCGGCGAATACACGACGTTGACGGAGCTCACGTGTATGTGCGGTATCAATACATTTGTTGATGAGGATAAAGCGTACGTGGATAAGCCAAATATATACCCTCCTAGTAGCTGCCATGTAACACTCCCATCACTGGGGCGGTGGTGAGAAGCATGTCGTAATATATGAGGGAGTGAGGGGGAACTAGCCTCTGCTCCGCCCTCTTCTATTTCTTTTCAATGGTAATGTAGCTAATACTCTGTGATACAGATGTGTGAGGTGTATGGTGTCTAGGGAGGAGATTTCCGCCATCGAAGCCACGGAGTACAATGATGCAGTGGAAGCTGGCTACAGTTCGATACCCTCGGGCGGTGACTCGGGAAATGGGAACTACGTAAATGGAGGAAACTCTGACAATGGGTGAAACAACGGAAATTCCACCGGAAACTCTGACAACTTTAACGGAGGGGGACGCAACTCGGATGGAGGGAACAACTCTAACAACTCTAACGAATGGGACAACTCAAATGGAGGGAACTCTAATAACTCTCACGGAGGGAACAGCTCTAACGGCGGTGAAACCAATAATGGATCCGGGAGCGAGACCAACACAGCCGAGACCAACAACGGAGCAGCGGACAACTCAAACGCAGCCGGGAGTACTCATTCGAACGGCGTTGAAGGTTTAGCCATGAGATCGGAACAGTTGATATTTGGGGCGGTATTCGCAGCTGGGATAGCCTATGTTTTGTAGTTTTTCATGAGCGATGGGAAGTGAGGTCTAGTACTATACTTAATGTAGATGTATTCGTTTTAATTTTACGTCATGCGTGTGGTCGGGGGAGCTAATAAGGTGCTTATGTATCTACTTCAAAAAAAAACTCTAAATGAAGGACAGATCTTTTTTAATGTCGCAGTGGCACATCAGAATACTGCTAACACGTACACGCTTGTCAACTAAAAGTGCATCATAATCATCTTCATCTTTCAACGAGTACCCAAGCTAGAAACATTGGCCACCATTGCAACTGAGTCGCGCCTCAAGGAGACTATTAATTCATACTCTCTGATCTCAAGCGGAAGAAATAAGGCCCATTAGCCGGCCTAACGTTCCCACAAAAATCACAACTCAATTGATCAATCAACCACTTCCACCCAAGATCTTCGTCCATATGATCATGATAGATGAATCTCTCAATTAGAGTGGGTGAACTTACTCCCACTAGACTGCGAATGAGTTCTGATCGACTCGTGCCAATCATGCTTGTGCGAAATAACGGCTGTATACTCAGAGGCTGGAAGACATGGAGGCAGGCGGTATCCGGTATTAAGCAGACCGTGGTGGTCCAGCCATGTAGCAGTGACAATGCACTTGCATGTGAGAAACTGATTTTGGGTTAATTGAAGCGCTTGAAGAACGAGTGATAGATTATGACTACCAGAGCCCTACATGCATACGCAACCTCCGGCATAAATAATGTTTTTATAAATTTCCAGCGCCCAGTACCCCCATTTCCCTACGCGGAACTTGTTTTGCACTTCCACTCAAGAGCCGCATACTTACATAACATGTAGGTACATGTATTTTGCGTTTTTTTTTTTATTTTTATTATTTTTATTATTTTTAATTCATTATGTAATTATATGCAACCTTACATATACAGCTTACAGCTATGACTGTCTATACATATCTTGAAATAGGGCGCTCGGCACATTTCATAGTATTGGAGGATTCTCATAGTATTTGTCATCGGCATATGACTCACTCACGACTCACTTAGAAGAAGTCCAATGGACGAGGAGGAGCTGGAGAAGTAAAAAGTGCTTCGAACATAGGGTAAAAGAGAAGAGAAAAGAAATGGCAAGATGCCGCAGATGGTGCAGCCTGGGGATAGGAAAAAGGGAAAGTGAGGAATCAGAAATAAGGAGAGCCGAGTGGAGGTTAAAAAGAAATGACAACTTCGGGGGGAGATAGGGAAGAAAAAGAAAGAGTGCTGGGATAAGTTTGTGGGCGACATCAGCAAGCTTAACAATTTCTGTAAAGTGTCTCCTGTGTCTCCAGAGAATCAAAATCCGTTTTGATGTCTGAGGAGAACTTCAGGAGACCCGGGAGACTGTTGGGAGATTCATGAATATTTACAATCTTGCTGATGGAGACACAAGGCAATGATTTGTGGGGAGTCTGGAGAATACTGTGCCAGTACAAGAAACGATATGCCAAAATGTCCACTATCGAAAACGAAAACGAAATTGCGGTTACATTTAAAGAAAAGGGAAAGATCTTTATACAACAACTCTTTCCCAATGCGCCAAAAGGTACAGATATCGTTATGATGACACCCCAGAACGATGAACAACCTAAACATATTCTGACAGAGTAGGATATGGGGACGGCGATCTGGAAACAAGGAGCTTATAAAGCACTTGGCCTGGATGGCATATGGTTTATCGCGCTGAAAGAAGTCCGGTCAGAAGTTAAGGATCTAATAACAGAAGTATATCAACTCGCACTCAATCAAGACTATTATCCAGTAATGTGGAAGAAAGGCACAGGTGCAATCATCCCCAAATCAGGAAAGACAGATTACTCAAGGGCCAAAGCACACAGACCAATCTCACTATTAAATACATTAGGAAAAGGATTGGAAAGATTATGCACAGATCGGCTGGCAAAAATCGGAGAGCAAGAAGAACTGAGCTCATATCAGTGGAAGGGCATGGGGTGAAAAGAAATATCAGCAGAAGAGTGTGTAGAACACACACTGGACTGGGCAGAAAAGAGAAAAGAAGAGGGCGAAAAGGTTCTACTAGTAGCAATAGATATTGCCCAAGCATTTCCGAATTTAAGCAAGACGAAACTGTTGAATATCGTATACGAACAGGGAGGCGAGAAGAGACTTGCATGATGGGTATACAGCTTTATGAGTGACAGAAAAGCCAATCTAAGATTTGATGGAGAAATGGAACAAGAGCATATGGTAGAAACTGAGATACCGCAAGGAAGTCTGGCATCACCAATCCTATTCAATCTTTATATCGCCACCCTTATTAAAGAGGTCAACGAACTAGCAGAACGACAATTGGAAGGAAAAGCAATCATACCTACCTTCATTGATGACTTCACAATTGCGGTAGCTTGAAAGGACTGGGGACAAGCAATAGCGAGAGCAGAGTGGATAATAGAAATCATCTATAAATGGGCAGAATACAACCATGTCAGGTTCGAGGAGGACAAGATGGAGTGGATTAGACTGGGAAAGGATAATGGAGAAGACAAGGAAATAGAAATGCTAGGAGGAGGGGGGAAAAATGAGAAACAGGAGTTAAGTGGCTAGGCATCTGGATAGACAACAAGCTGACCTTCAAAAACCACGTAAGGGAGACAATGGTTAGAGGATTCAGAGCAGTGCAGAGTGTGATCAGCTTAGGAAAAGGAACAAGAGGAATGGGGGTCGGAAATACGAGAAAATTCTATATCGCATGCTCCAGGCAAATTGCGGAATACAGCGGAAAAATATGTTGGAAAGGACAAAAGGGACTCGAACTTGCGGCAAAAATCAACAAAGTTAATATACAAGCAATGAGAAGGATCGGAGTACATTTCAAATCAGCCCCCACAGCCGCAATAGAGGTGAAAGATGATATGATACCTACACAACATGGATTCAACTATAAAGAATGAATGCAGGCAGTACTAAAAGAACTGAAGCATGCACCAAACCATCCTACTCACAAGGCATTGAAAAACAAGATTGGTGAGATAATCCAGGAAAAGAATACATGACGGGTATTGAGAAGAAGAGGCCAAGGAAGGAGGTGGGGAATGAAAGAAGCAGTTAAAATTTGGCAAAGATCGTAGGAAGGGATTGGAAGAAAATAGAAAGTTGGAAAAGCTACTACGAGAAGGAAAGAAAATGGGTAAAAAAGGCAAGGGAAGAGATTGAGATAGACATGACTGTATAATGAAAAAGGAATACTAGTAGAAAAAAAGAGGCAGGAGGACAGAAGGGAACAGGAAAGAGAGATTATCATTTACAGCGATCGCAGCAAGACAACGGAGGTAGCAGCAACAGGAGTGTGCAGAATAGGAAATGATGGAGAAGTAATGAGGAAGATCGGCTACAGACTGGGGAAAAAGAAGGAAATCATGGATGCAGAAATGGTGGGGCTCAAAAAAGCAATCGAGATCGGCCTAAAAGAAGCAGCAAAGGAAAGAAATAAGACGATAACTATTAGATGCGACAGCCAGAAGACGATGAGACGAGTAAAATACAAACACCAATCATCAGGAGAGATAATGGCTCACAAAATACGCTACTGGTATGACGCTGGAAAGACACAAAAGATCAGAGTAATACTAGAATGGGTCGAAGGACATAGCAAGATAAAAGGAAACTTGGAAGCTGATAAAGCAGCCAAAGAAGCCGTCAATAAAGGAAGAATCGATAATGAGTGGTTCGTTTCATTTGCATTCCTAGAAAGGGAGTCCGGGAGGAAACAGTAAAAGATTGGGAAACAGAATGGGAAACGAGAGCGAACAAGTAAAAAGCGCAGCATAAACCATCGCAACGAAATACCATCAAATTTGACGATACGGACCAAACCAACAGAGTTATTATTAGCTGCCTCAGAACAGGCCATATAGCCATCAAGAGGTACCTAAAAAGAATAGGAAAGATCGAAAGCGCCGAATGCGAATGCGGCAAAGGAGAGCAGAGTGTAACCCACATACTCACCGAATGTGACGCAATGGCCGAAGCCCGCAAAACCTTCAAAGAGCATAATACAGTTATCAAACTCCTTTGGAAGGCAAGTGGTATCGAAGCAGCTACAAAAATCTGGAAACACTTTGGGAGATGGAGATACAAGAGAAATGGTCAGGAGGAGAGCGCAGAAGAGGAGAGAGGAGAACTATGATACGGGTGCCAGTGGGTGACACTGAAAAATGCTGGAAGCGAGGAATAGGACAAAAGAGGACTCTAGTGTTTTGCATTTCTTATGTTGGCTATATGTGAGAGGAGGCGGAAGAGAATGGGTAGTTCAGGGGTATTGCCATAACTGTAAGGTTACATGCAATTAATGAATTGAACAAAAAAAAAAAAAAAACTCACGACTCACTTTCCTATTAGTCATTCTATTACTTATACGTCTATGACTCATTGTATCTCTTTTGTACTACCTCTCTTTAGTATAAATACGGGGCATTCCCCCTTAGCTAGAATAAACACGATCAATTACTTCACTTCTCCTACATACTTTTCTCTAACATATACGTATACGGAGTCTTATAGATCACCTAATACCCAAACAACACTTAAACTTATCCCACTCAAATCCTGACTTCGCCGCACTAATCTCCGCCAGAAACCATGAAATGGATCAGCCGCCCTCACCTTGATATTCGCAACTTGTAGTTCTCTCTTCGAAGCTTCATTATATTAGCACGGAAGCATCTACACTCTTTCAATACCTATTGATCCGCCGCGCCCCTTTTCCCGCCAAACCTGTTACTCATGACGGGTGGATTTAACCTTCCCGGCCTCCACATTTGGGCTTACAAATCTTTCCAGGGCCTTTGACGAGACCTTGAGTTCTCTTCTCCTAGCTCCATAGGTATCTCAGCTCACCCAGCTTTATCGAACCAGGCTCGAGTCTTTCCCGCAAGCGTTCAAATTTTGTTAATGTCTCCTTCACTAAGAGAGCTCCAGTGGGTAGCTTCCAGAAGCCTACGAAAGATGTGTAGACGGCGCTACATGGAGAAAAGGAGGATATAACTTCAATCAAAACGGATTCAGACTCGAAGTGGTGCGAGATTGCCGTAACTTCAGTCGGTGGCGCCGGGAATCCACAGTACCAATAAGTACAATTTAGTAATGGGCGATCCGGAAATGAAGAGGGAAACTACAACGTGTTAAGACATCTAAGCTATGTGTTGAAATAGTTATTGACGTAACTAATCTGTGTTTTACATCTAGAAAGATAGGGTGAGGACATATACAGATCAGCACTCTTTCAGGCGTTTTACTTTTGGTCAGAAGCTCCGCTCATGATCAATCCAAGAATTCTATACCCTAGCAGACACGCTGTTGTTCGAGATCGAATTTCAGAGATGTCTTGTGAAACAGAAGGAGCATTGCCTCTTTCTCCCGCCTCTCACATCTCCTACATATATAACCCCACTAGAGGTTAACAATTGTTTCCAAAAAGCTCTCACCCTCGTACTTTCTATGACCCTGGGATACTAGGGACCAATAACCGCCACCGCAAGGGCTTAACTCATCAACGTACCTACCACTAGGGCTATTCCAGAAGTATTTCACTCCACGTTCATCACTAACACCAGAGAGGAGTTGGATAATGTTTAATTTAGGCACAGCGTCAGCTGAGGTCCTGGAAAGATGATATTTGCTCGGGCATGGGTTTCTTCTAGGGGTACGAGTGGTGTTCTAGTTGTTGGCATGTCCTGTAACGATCTTTCTTACATAGACTCGGATGAATCCTCAAGTGTTGCATATTCTCTTTATAGAACGTATATAATTGGAGGGAGCCATGATATACGGATACGTATCCACCTCTCGTAATAGTGCTATCAACCTGCTGTATCTTCTATCATGGGTATCAATCCAATATCCGTTCTTCAATAACACAATGGTCGAGAGAATCACCGGCACGATATATATATATGAACATTCAAACAAGATTAATTTCCAGTAAATCCTATCCCCGAAAGTAACGAAATATCAGGATTTGAGTTTGAGGTATCAACACTTCTCTGGCTCCTCGATATTTCCATATTCTAAGCTGTGTCTTGAGTGAATTTCTGAAGTATACACCACCCAAATCACCGCTAACCGCCCAACTAACGAACTAAACAAAAAAACAAAAAAGCATCGTTAACTGTCACCAGGGTTAGGGTTTCCTGCTCCAGCAAACAGAAATACTCATAAGGTTCATGAAAGACCAATATTTTCAAAATTATATCCTCTCAACTCGAAACCGAGTAATGGGGTATTTCCAACAATCTATGGACGCTATGGCGGCATCATGATTGGTGGGGCCGGCCCTGACCCGCGGCAGCCAGCAGGATTCGATTCTAATCCGGTATTTACAAAATATCCTCGGTGGTATGGATATGCAACGGACTTTTTACAATTTTTTTTGTGGGGAGCTTGGGCGCTCTAATCTTGGTAGAGCGAGAGAAGGTGCAGATCATGAATTATCACTCGTATCCTAAAGCTTGGCGTCGTTGTGGCGGAGAATTAAACGCGGAGGTGTAGTACGCATGCGTCTATACAAGATGTGACTACTACAATATCAACTCCCAGCAACAACTCATTTGATTATTTTGCTGTGGACATTAATTAGGCTTGGATCGACTCCCGGATACGGTAAATTTCTAAGGGCCCGTTTGGCTGTTATGGAGGTGTCGAAATTCCGTTTTGTAGCTGCTCCGTGAGGAGAGGATAAACGGAGCTTTTTCAAAATGGAGTTTGGATTTATTTAGGTTGCCAAACACCTGATTTTTAATGGTTGTTAACGTTGGTTTTTTTGGTTGCAATGACTGCAAGAGCGAAACGGAGCTGAAAAGAAGTAGGTACCCCCTACTTTTCAAAAACTCCGTTTCAACGCCTTAACGGAGTTACAAAATTAGCTGCCCGAACACAAACATCTCTGCCAAAATGGAGTTTTGAAGAAAATGAAATGGAGTTATGTGGTTGCCATACAAATCCTCCTCTTGTAACTCCGTTTTGACTTACAGCCAAAGGGGCCTTAAGTTCACCCAACACCCTAATATAACAGCTTAGAGCAGCTTAATCAATTGATGAAACCTATCTTTGGATTCCCTAAACACATCAGTAACGATGCTGATCATGCATGGCCAGTATATAGGTCTGGCACCTACCCGTCCTCTTATCTGGTTGTCCTTTAATTACCAATACCATGTCGGTACTCACTAATGCAACGGCGACATGAGCACTGAAATCCAGCACTAGATATCAACCAACTAGCTGGATACTAGCGATGCTACACGTTACACCACGCTCCGCACCTGGCCGCTCGTACAACAAGAGCTGCATATTTCTACTAATTTTAACTACATACATACATACATACATACATTTATGCACACGTGCACTTCCGTGGTCGTGATATATATGGAAACCAGAGTACCCACACACCTGGTTCCCACTAGGCAGTAATAAAGAAACTTGATGGCCCCCTCTTCGCAACCACTACAGTGTGACGTCTTGGCTGGTTATTCTTTCAAATTCCCGTTATTTGACACCATCTCCAGCTCCCTTCCCCAGCTTAATATGCAATTGATTTGACAACCATAGGACGAGACCTATAGCTTCACAACCGTTATCGGATGGGCTAGATTTGTCGCATGGCATGGGACATATGTGATAAGAACCAACTACTGTCGTTCAGGGGGTATTGGCGAATTGCAGGTAAAGGTTGGTTTGGCTGTCTCTTTTTTGCCCTGTCCACCATCACCCAGTATCCGCCAATACCCCGTGAACGACAGTACACTCTTCCCATATGCAGTTGCAAAAAAACCACCATAGCTACGCCTACATAGTCTTCAGCCTTGCTGGGATCCAATCGTGCCCAGCTCTGGGTATGCTACCAAAGCACAGGATTACCTCTTCCTACAGCCCCAGCCCCACGAAGTGCGAGTAGAAACTTGCAGCGCCAGAGGTTAGACAACGGTATAAGTTCAATGGGTTAGGGTTTCGACCCGAATCTAGATTGCCTCCTCCACTGTAGTACTGACCACCACCGGAAATAAATACCTAGATAGTTACGACTATTGTGTCAAAAGCTTCGCCTTCCAAGTCCGTTCAAACCAAAAGCTTATTTATGATAATAAAATGTCTCCTATCTATGCATGTATCAGCGTTCAACACGCAATTTCCACATGTGGTGGGGCTGAATGTACCTCTAAATGGTGGGTCCCGGTTCACCTTGTCGCTCCAGAATTCAAAGTGCACAAAGCTGAATAAAAGCGAGTAGAATGTGCAAGTTCCATGACGTCGAACCTGCGCCGCGGAAGTTAACCATGAAACATGCCCTTTTACAATTACTTTCCCGGATTATGTAATTATCCACTTAACTGTGGGAGTGTCGGCCCCTGGACCCAGTGGTCGAAAATTCCCCGCTCATTGGTAATGTCCGTCAATAACCATTCTATTTTACTCTCCGTAGTCACCCTACGTGCCCCCTATAGCTATTCCTAGGCTGGCCTTTCTGTATGTAAATGTACACGCTTACCAGCGTAAGAACCAGAAAATGCAGTTGCTCAGGGCAAGGATAATTTGTATGGAGTGGCGTCGTTCTCTCATACAAATAATCCCTGTTTCCGTTACTTGCATTTTCTGGTTCTTTTGAGGGTAAGCTGTAGTTCAAGACAAACAGGATCGAACTGGACAACTCAGCCTCCTCCCCCGCGAGACACAGGAACACACAGGGCCAAGACGGAACTTTCCTTGCAGTGCCAAATTAAGCGGACAAACAATCAAACAAAGCCTGTGAGTCATTAAGCAACTGTGCCCGTCCTCAATATCCCATATATGCAACAGGCCGGCATACATGGTACTCTACAAGATCAGTTAAAACTTCACAGAGTAGACTAGCTAAGAGTAGAGGAGGACAATACCAGGGTGCATTAATTAAGGCACTTTACACTCGACTGCTCTACTCTACTCCTCTGTGCCCATAAAGTACTCTAAGGTCCCAGCACCGATACGCTCATGAGCAATTAACCCCTATAACCCAGTAAACACTCTATTTTACCCACGATAACCCTCTGTCGGATCTCGGAAAAGATGTTTTCGCCAGGAGTAAACACCAATCTAGCATGGTACTCGCACCCCCTTTATCCTTGGCGCTCGGTTGTTTGTGCGACATGGCGTGTGTAACGCTCTCTCCCCTGCCTCAAGCTTTGTGTATCCCATTTTCCCGTCCACTGGCTGCCACAGCCCCATATGCAGACACGAACAGTCAATTTGTTGTTAGAGTATGTGTCCAATTCAATAACAAGTCTACGGTAGGAAGATCACGAGGCAATGTCACTATTGACTCTAAGCAGATACTGTTACTGTCCTGTTGATCAAGGGTGCACGGATGGTTCTATGTGACACAGGGACAGGGTGTATGTTACCAGGGTAGAGTACATATTATACATAGTGTCTTTCTTTTCTTCTTCCGTGTCCCCCCAACTAAGATTAAGGTTAAGGTTGGTTTCATGAACATCAACTTCTCGTATCGGGGGGAACATGCACCCCCAACTACAACTATATAAACACCCCCCCAAGTCCCCCATCCCCCCAAGTCCGAGATATTCTTCAGTCACCTCACCTCGGTCTATTCATCTGTTCTTCATTGCAGCTCAATCAACTCAATCCAACCCACATCCAACACAATGCATTACCCATCCGTGACCTTCATCCTCCCCGTGGCCCTTAGCTTGGTTGGGTCTGTGGCAGCGTTTGCCATGCCATCGCCACAGGACTTCTCGAGCTCGAGTTGCAACCAATGTCTTGCACTGGCCAGTACCGCGGACACGTGCGGCTGGAGCATAACTTCGACCGATGTACCAACGATAAGCCAGACTACGTGCATGTGCGGCCTTGATAGCTTTATAGAGAACTACAAAGAGTATGTGATTCCCAATCATCCCGCCGTCCCTCTCTCTCCCATGAGAGAGGAACCTCACTGGTATAGGACAAATGCTAACGTATCATCTGCGAAAACAGCTGCATGTCCTGCATGGTTACCACCGGCGTTATGAACGCCTCCGATGCCGCAACATACAGCACTGCTGTCGTGGATGGGTGCAGTACCCTTACTGGCGGCGGAACCTCAACTTCCGGCTCTGGCTCTGGCACTAGCACTAGAACCTCCACCGGCAGCTCATCCTCCTCCACCTCCTCATCATCCGGTGGGTCAACGTCAACAGACACTGGTACCTCTTCCGGAAGCTCAAACAGCAACGGAAACGGTGTGCTCGACCAGAGCGGCGCCGGTGCGCTGTCCGCCGGCTCTGGACAGTTTGTCCTCGGTGCTGTTGCAGCCGTTGGGGTTGCCCTTTATGCCCTGTAGGCTTCTGACCTATTAGTCGCTGGATTTCTTTTTTCTCCTACTGTGCTGCTGGATGATGGACTGTGGAACTGGGATAGGATAGTGAGGATTTTAATAACTTTTTTTTTCTTTTTCACCTGTTTATTTTTCCGTCTTCTACTTTTTGCTTTGGCTTTCTTTTCGGGTTTGATGTGTGCTTGTGTAGACATACATGTAGTATCGAAACTGAAACGTGGCTGAAGAGGGGAATGGTTTTCTCGCCCTATATAGCTTAGTCGAGCATTATTTGAGATTGTCTGTTCCCTGTGCTTGGGTAGCTTTCTTCATCCACAAGTGAACCAAACCAATACGTAAACCGTCATGAGCTCCAATAATCCCCCCGGCCCATCAAGGGGTTTCGGCCATGCAACACTCGCCGTGCCAAGTCAACCAGGACCCCATGATGCATCTAGATCTACACTAACCTAGTCGTGCCACGCCCGGATCGATGTCACCAGCAGCTGTTACAGCCACCTACTTGTCGAGTGAGGCAGAGTTGGAAGGGATGGTACTCACTCTAGGTATGCCTTGCCCTGCGCTTTCTTAGTTCGTCCCCCAGCCTGGGATTCTATTCTTCCTTGATGAAATATCTTTACAATTTAGTTCCGACCAGACTTTCATCCACGCAAGCCACCACCTATATTTATCAATTTAGTCATGAGATATTGTACAAGCAATTCTACTTACTACTCTAATTAGAGCAACATCTAACTTAGCGCGACAAAACAACATTTCCATTTCGTGTTTCTGTGAGTTTTCCAGGCCTATCCCAAATCCAGTCCCCCCTGTCTATCCCGCCGATCACACCCGAACACAGTAACAGCACCGCTCCCATTAACATTCTCAACTATTAGGGGCGGGTGTCATATTATCTAATTAGTCCAAGTAGGAATAGGAATACGAGCAACAATCAACAAATTCCTTCTTCCTCTGCCATCTCCGCCAAAAAGCAAACCGACTTTATTGCACTTGCTTAGCCAAGTATGTAGAGTAGCTAGCTTGCCCATGCGGATAATAAACGCACTTTGATCGTGCATGCGTGCCCTGGCTCGGCTAATTAAAACCGTTAACTCTAAAGCGACGGCCATGTCCGAGTTCGAGTGTGAGTTCGAGGGTGGGTGAGGGAGGGGTTTCCGAGGTTCCGCGAAGGTGATCATAGTACTAGTAGGGTGCTGGTGGTATGTAAGGTGTCGAGAGACTACATGTATGATGTCAAAGACAAATGCGTAAGGTGTTTAAATGCTGTCCCCAAATCATGCCTCATCACTCGCGCGCATTCTATGGTTGCCGGGTTTTGTGGCGCGCTCGGAATTGAAGAGCATGGATCGTGACACGGTGCGCGAGAACGTTAACCACGCGACGGAGGGGTGTGAGTCACTGGTAGAGCACCTATGTATGTATATACATAGATATGTAGACTAAATCTCTCGTCAATGCTAGCAAGAATCAGGTACCTCCCAAACCTAGCTTTGGCAGTTCAGAGATGGTCAACTGATTTGAAATCAACTACTGTAACTACTAATAGCTAGTAGTAGGGTCAGCGCCCCCAGAAAGCCTCCCCAGGCGAACTACACCAAACCAGCCACGAGCCAATAGCAGCAGCCAGTGCTTAAAATTCGGCTGGCCCATTACTAACTACTATTAACCTCCTGTTCAACTGCTCAGTCTCAACACAAAACGTCCACCGGGAATATCGGCCCACCCGGGAAAAGTCCAAAGGCAGAAGGTGGTAATAATACTCGATGCCCAAGACAGCTAGCCCACCCCCAGTTCCTCCAAAATTCCATGATCCTGGCAATACTCTAAATAAGAATGTTACACCGCCAGCACACTGAACGGGCACCAATTAATTGACGGATGGCCAATTGCAAGGGGGGTTTCGATTTCATCTCTGCCCGGACGAAGACTCATACTCTAATAACAAAAGGCAGAGACAGAATAGGCAAAACAGTCCTGGCTACTATGTACTTTAATTAACGGCTTCCCTGCATGAATTGGCCCTACCTCGTGGTATCAGGATCAGTCTAGTGGTGTAACATGCAATTGGTCACACAAACGCCCCCAAGTCAATCATCAAGCAAAAAAAAAAAAAAAAGCCATGAATTAATAGTATTGTAAAACCTCATTGCCGACCGTTAAGAGTGAAAGATATTCGGGTATCTACAGCGCATACATGCCCAACCCCACCGCCATTGCCCCCGCGGCGACCATCTTCCCCGGCCCCACCGCCAGGCACCCTGCCCCGCCCGTGACTAACGCGCAGTTATCTGCCACGTCCTTGACGGCCGAGTCCTTATCATCGCTCGTCATATCTTGGTTGGATACCGAGCAGGACAGACATCTGTACATCACCACCGGTCAGTATACATCTACGTACGTACGGTACAACACAGGCTCTACGAGCAGATAGGGGGAGGACGAACGCTTTGTACTGCGACTGGAAACCATCGGTTTTGCACAGACACCTCCACTGGGATGCCGTGGGCTCGGTGGTGTCGTCGTCCACGATATTGTATCCGCAGCTATTGGTGCTGTCGACGAGGGAAAGGCAGTTTCCGCAGTCGCCCGAGGTGGAGGCGGGGCTGGGGAACGCGATGGCCGTGATGGCGGTAGTGAAGAGCGACAGGCTGAGGGTGATGACGGTTGAGAAACGCATTTTGAGGAGGGGAGATGGTGGTCTAATTTCTGAGGGAGGAGATTATGAGGATCACGGTGGTGAGCGAGTGAGGGGCAATAAGATTGGGAACAGGTCGTGTTTATATATCCAAGCCCTGTCAATTCCACAGCCTAAGCATCGCCAAACAGAGCTTATTTCTCTCCATCTCTCTGTTTATATCTGCTTTAATCTTAACCCTATTGTTATTGATCTCTCCTATTAATTTCCAATGTGCATGATTAGAATATGTTAATATATACTCATACCAGCGGCACAGTTACACAGATATTGCACCGCGATACTGGCACTACCAATTGCAAGGGTACCCATCAAGCCATTCTATTCAACTCCCCCCGTAGATCTTCAATCTCCGCGGTTAGAACATTTTGTTATATAATCCACCTACTAGTTGGCTACGCCGCAAGGCGGATTAAGAGTAGTTAAAAGCCATCATTGGCAGGTCAGCCATATCTAGGGCCCCTTTTTCTACATTTACTAGTTGACTGATAAATGCTATCGCGAGGGAACGTTACACAGACCAGTCGGGTTATTGTGTCGGTCCACTCGGTACAACGGAACACTGGCACTGCATGATGGGTGCATTATGCATGACGTCGGAACGAACGGCGGCGAGTTTTGGAGAGATCGTGGTGGGGCTGTTCTGGAAGAAGTACCGACCTCTGGGCAGCAGGTGCTCAAGCAGTCCATGGTCGGGTGTTTGTGTCCAAGGAGAGACAATGTCACTCTTGGCCGATATGATCTGCTTGCTTAATTAATTAACGGCTTGTGGGACCTCCTTGTATGGGTATATGTATCGTGTCTCCCAGACCTGTACGTACACTTTGGTCACAAGTATTAGCACAGCCCCTCAAAGTGTAAAGTATAGTTCTCACAGCTATTTGGAGAGAAAACACATACCCGCAGAAATATGGGAAGCTTTCTTGTAAAGAATCTGAACCCGCTGACGATAATTGAAGATCCCTCCTTATTGAAGTTCGATAAACTCTGAATCCCCTGCGGCCTGAAGTGCAGAATCCCGAGTAACGACGACTTTAAACTTGAGACCAAAATATCATTGACCAGCACTTTGTGTAGTTAGCCCTGGGGTCCTGTTTCACCGAGCAATTTTATAGCAATGCAAGGCCTGTAGCAGTGCTTCTCTTCTGCTAAGAAGATACTAGTAGAATTATAGCGTGCTTGACGGATATCGCCGAGACTACCTCAATGGGGTAATTCCAGGTATCAACGGCATTTTTCCATCTCACATGCTAACATTATCATATCTCCCGCCTTGCAAAACTTTTTCTCTTCGAATCAGAACCACCAGATCCCAGGTAGACAAAAGTGCCCAATCTGTTCAACGCCAGCACGGCCACAGAGCACTCCCCCAACCCTCTTTCCCGAAGTGCGCGTTTTGTAACATGTCCATGATGATAAACTGGTAGGACGTGGTCTAATACAAAGCACGAAGTCTTGTTGGCTCGTTAATTAATGAATAATAAAGATAGGCATCGTCTCATTACAACGGACCACGTCTGAAGAAACGCCAGGGCTAGGATTGTCCGTAGGGTTATGGTAGTATATGTGCATCAGCCCCCAGAGCAACGCACATACAATGCGCACGGGAGTGGTCTTCTCTTAGTCAAAATAATATATTTCGTAGTAGAACTCTTGTGATGAGAGTGCAAGATGCTTGAACAGTGCCCGCATAAGGTTACAATTGGTTTTGAGCTCTGTGATTCACTTTGCCAATCATTTTATAGGTCGAGTACGTTGCATGTAGTTACTACTTCAAAGGCTGGTAAAGTTATGGATCAGGGACTTTTTAGCATGTTAATTGACTGCATAGAAGTATGTAGCGATGTTACGCTTTACAGTATTTCCAGCAGCATGCATGTGGCATTTTAACTCAATACCGTATCGAATCCACCAATGGTGAATTACATCGCATTTTCCCGTACCTTAGTGGAATATCTGCGCAGTTTGGGGTAGATTTGATTAGATAGTGGTATTCTGATCTATATGAACCGCACGAGTCTCAGAAAGAGAATCCCGGGAGGAAACAATAAGAGAATGGGAGACAGAGTGGGAGACAAGGGCGAATAAGGAAAAGGCACTGCTCAAACCATCGCAACGAAACACCATCAAATTTGACGACACGGATCGAGCGGACAGAGTCATCATTAGCCGCCTCAGAACAAGCCAAATAGCCATCAACAGATACCTAAAACGAATAGGAAAGATCGAAAGCGCCGAATGCGAATGTGGCAAAGGAGAGCAGAGTGTGGCCCACATACTCACCGAATGCGATGCAACGGCTGAAACCCGCAAAACGTTCAAAGAACATAACACGGTTATCAAACTCCTCTGGAAGGTAAACGGTATTGAAGCAGCTACAGAAATTTGGAAACAATTTGCGAAATGGAGATGTGAGAGAAACGGACAAGACGAGAATGAAGAAGAGGAGAGAAGGGAACTAGGGTACGGGTGGGGAACACTGAATGACACGGGAAACAAGGAATAGGAAAAAGAGAGGGCTCTGGGACGTTCATTTCCTATGTCAGAAATACGTGAGAGCAGGCGGAGGAGAAGGGGCAGTTCAGGGGTATTGCCATAACTGTAAAGTTGCATGCAATTAATGAATTAAACGAAAAAAAAAAAAAATGCATGAGTCTCGAATTAAGTTAAGGGGAAGGTTTTCCGATCATAAGAAATCACTCGCCAATAAAAATCTTGAAAGTCGGCCTTACGCATATCAGGGTCTCCGGATCACGAGAGCTAAAATCAGTATCTGGGACTTATAGTGTTTTCTATGAACAACACTCATGTCTCTCCGGCCATCAGTTATCTCTCGAAATAGGGCGCTCGGCACGTTTCATAGTTCTGGAAGATTCTCATTATTTCCTTATGATATTTGTCATCGACGTATGACTCACTTTACTATTACTCATTCTATTACCCATACGTCTATGACTCATTGTATTTCTTTTGTACTACCTTTCATTAGTATAAATACGGAGCATTCACCCCTTTAGCTAGCACTATCAATACGATCAATTACTTTACTTCTCCTACATACTTTCTCTAGGTTATGAGTCCGGGGACCACTCATGCTTATACACTCTTCACCATTTTTACCACAAAGTACACTTTCTCGTTTCACTTTCAATTATGTCTGAGAGGAGCATCAAAATTCCCGCACTCCCATGCAAGCTGGATGGTTTAGGCCATTACACTGTATGGAGGGACCTTGCTACCTTCATGTTAAAAGTTCACGATTTGCGGAACTTGGTCAATGGTTCGAGCAAGCACCCCGTGTTGACAACCACCACCACTACTGTACCTACCACAGTACCTCCAGCAACAGGAAGCGTAGCAGAGGCCGAAGAAGACGAAGAAGAAACCTCCGACAACGCCGAAGAAATCAGCAACTGGGACAAAAAAGACAACCTTGTAGTTGTATTCCTCCAATCAAACATTGAATTCGAAGTTATTCTCACGCTGACACCGGCCGACACCACTCACCATCTCTGGATTCAACTTGAGGACAGATTCGATCGCAAAACCGTCGCCTCCCTCCACTCGCTCCTCGCGAATGTTGTCACCCTGCATTATACACCCGACAAGGGTATCAAGGAACATTTAACCCAGTTCAACACTCTTTGGTCATCTCTCCTCACTAGAACTAGTAACTCTACCGACAAGACCAAGGACACACTCGGTTACCACCTTCACCAACTCGCAACTGTCCCAGAAGCGAAGACATCCTTCCTACTTCTCTCACTCCGGCACGAATCCCTCGAATCAGTCGTGGACAACCTGCAAACCAAGCCCAACATCACCTTCGATGACGTTTATGAAAAGCTGTTGGATCTGTACCAATGGTGCAACAACGATGGACAGGCGGCTGGAGAAGCCTACACAATCAGTCGCGGAAACCCAGGATACTGAAACAGAGTCAGGAAGCCACGTAACAATTGAAAAGGAAATCGGGAAGTCATATGCACCTGGTGCACCAAGAATGGAGAATATGCAAAAGGCCACATGCACAAAAACTGCTGGAAACTTAAAGCTTTCAGAGATAAGGAGAAGTCCGCTGTATCTGGCAACCTCAACGTCACATCTGGTACTGCATTACATACAAAACTAGATCTCTCTTGTATCCCCGATCTTTCTGGCCTTCCCGAACTCGAAGAAACCGATGTATTCACAATGCCGGTTGACTTCAACCTCACCAACTTCTCAGATGACACCTCGGATATTAATATGAAAGACTACTTTGACTTCATCACAGGACCTTCTACTTCCGACAATAAGCCATGGATCTTCGACCCTGGTGCAACCAACCACATGATCGGAACACTGGTTACCGACCCCACTCCCCACACTGGAACAGTTACTGTTGGAGGAGGTCGCAAACTACAGATAACCGGAATTGGCAACGTCACCATCAATGAATCACATGACCTGATCACTCTGCAGAACGTATTCTTGATCCCCGAACTTGGCAACACCAACCTAATGTCTTGGTCTTGCATGGTCAAAAAGGGATTCACAACAACTGGGACGGAAGACGGCTTTACCATCTACAAACCGAACAGCAAGGAAATCATCAGGATCACTAACGCAAACAGTACTGGTCTCTACATTTTTGAAACCAAGGAACCCTGTGCAAACCTTTCCAAAACTACCAGTTTCTACGACTGGTACCAAAGGCTCGGACATCTCCCCGCTTCCTCTCTCTCATGGCTTCACACCATGGTTGCCGACCTCAAGTCTCTCCCCACATCTGGTGACATGGAAACATGCAATACGTGTGAACTCGCAAAATCAACCAAGTCTCACCTCGCTCCCCTCACCGAACCACAATCCAAACAACCACTGGAAGTAATAGACTCAAATCTGAGCGGCAAGTTCTCGACTCCTTCTCTGGATGATTTCAGTTACTATATCACTTTCATCGACGATTTCTCTAGGTACGCTCACCTCTACTTCCTTAA